CTTACATTATAGAGAAGGACAGATAAAAAACAAATATATAATATGTTAGGTAGTAGTGAGTGTTGTGGAGAATAAATCAGAGTAAATAGGAAAGGGAGTACAGGGTTGCCAGGGGATGGTTAATCAGAGTGGTTTATTAGACCTATGGCCTCTACTTGCCTCTCCCCCACTCTTAATTGTTGGCAATAAGACAGGCAGTGTCTGAGATCTTGGGGCTTGCTTACTTTAAGTTAAGAGAGCACTTTTTCCTGAAATATTTTTTAAAGGCATGTGGAGACTTTTTAAAAGGTAGTGTCATCATCCAATTCTGAGAATGTATCTGTGAATCTAAAAATGAAGTATGTATATTCTAGAGGTATGTGAACAGTATGCTTGGGATAGGTGAGAAGGAAAGTGGGCATACATAGAAAAAGAAGAAAGAGCATTTTTTTTCCTGGAGAATCAAGTGTGCTTCATGGTTAAGTAAAATTAAATATGTTTATATTAATGCTAAGAGATACTGTTGCTACATACTGCAACATGGAGGAACCTTGAAAACATTACGCTAAGTGAAAGAAGCCAGTCACAAAGGACCACATGTTATATGATGCACTTACATAAAATGTCCAGATTATAAAAATCTATAGCGACAGAAAGTAGATTAGTAGTTGCCTAGGGCTGGGGGGAGAAGGGTATTAATGGGCGATGGCTAAGGTGTGCAGAGTTTCTTTTGGGGGTGATGAAAATGATCTAAAATTGAATGAGATGATGGCTGCACAATTCTGACTTTAAATAGGTGAATTGTATGTTATGTGAATTACACACACACACACACACACACACACAAACTAAGAGAGAGAAAAAAGTTAGATGTAAAAAACAAGCATTTCAGATTGTGCATATGGAACTGTGAGAGTACAAGGTCATGTAGCTTCTCTTAGGGATATATTAAGAAAGTTTAAGAAGCATAAAAGTGAGTTCAAATAAGCCACTAATATTGACAACAATTCACCAACATATACTCATATACACATAACAATTCATCAACATATATACTTGACTTTAGAATCAATTTACCAGTAGTGTATAAATTAAGTGAAACGATAGTAGTAAATTCCAATCTTGTTATTATAAATCAGTGATTTATAGAGTCCCATTTGAAAAGAAATACGTCTTTGTGAAATGTCATGGCAGTCAGTAAATTGCAACAAAGTCAATTGATTTCAGGGAAACTTTTAATTAAAATCAATCAATATATGAAATAACATCATTTTTGAATATGCTGTAGCTATTGTGTTCTGTAATACTGCAAAGAGAAAATATGTGAAATAGAAATCTGAGTGAAAAGATACTTTTTAAAATAGATTATAGAAATTTCCTTTTTTTTTGTTTTTTCCTAAGGAAGATTTGCCCTGAGCTAACATGTGTGCCCATCTTCCTCTACTTTATATGTGAGACACCTCCACAGCATGGTTGGTGAGTGGAGTAGGTCCACGCCTGAGATCCGAACCCACAAACCTGGGCCGCTGAAGTGGAGCGTGTGGAACTTTAACCACTTGGCTACGGGGCCGGGCCCTGGAAGTTTATTTCTAATGGTCCAGAGAATAAAACAGAAAGTTAGAAGCAAGCTCCTATGAAAGATAAATAAATGTTACAAATGTCAGAGACTTGAGACTGCTGTAAAACAGTTACCCACATGAAAAGAAGAAATTTTAAGCACCAGATCAAAAGAGAACATAAAATTAAAAGGACTGAATTTTAAATAACTTGAAGGAAGGTAAAAATTGGTTTTAAAAAATGTCTTTTAGGGGCCGGCCCAGTGGCATAGTGGTTAAGTTCACGCACTCCGCTTCGGCAGCCTGGGGTTCACAGATTTGAATCCCGGGCATGGACTTACGCACTGCTCTTCAAGCCATGCTGTGGTGGCGTCCCACATACAAAATAGAGAAAGATGGGCACAGATGTTAGCTCAGGGACAATCTTCCTCAGCAAAAAAAAAAAAAATGTCTTTTCTACGTAAATTTACGGTCTTCTTTCTAGTCGTTTCATTCCACCAATATTTACTTGGTGCCTACATCATAAGCTGAGATATAAATATCTATATCGTGTCCATGTTGTCAAGCTCAGAGTATAGATTAATAAATAAAATTGACAAGATCTCTGCCTTGTGAAATTTAAAACTAGTGTAAAGTGCAGTCCATAAAAACCCAAAAATAATATATACAAATATATATATAAATAACTGAATATTTAGTAAGTGCCATAAAAATAGTATGCAGTAAAAGACAAAAAACAAAGGTGACTTTTTAAACAAGATAGTCAAAGTCTCTCTGAAGATTTGACATTTGAGCCTAAATCTGATACAAAAATAAACAGAAAACACTAAAAGGAATATTGTAAGTTAATTGATGTTAATTAGAGCTTTGCCTCTGCCCGTAGACAGGGTATGTGTAAGATAATCCACTGGAATATGTCATACTGTGAAATTTTCTACTTTTGATATATTGTAGGGCGTATAATATGCTATCAATAGTACACGTGTAAGTCATAGATACCTGTGTACAAATTGGGAATGCATGATCAATGGGATGCTGAGCGGAAAAGCTTAGATCACACTGCTGTCCTGGATGAGTCCTGGTAAGACAGAGAGGTTGAATTAGCCAAACAGGCCATAGGTGGTCTCTGGAAAGAGGCCATCAAAATAAAGATGATAGCCAGTACCTCGATGGTTACCTTGTAAGTAACCTCTTATGACTTTGTATCATTGAGTTGATAGCATTGTTCAAGTCTTCTCTATCCTTACTCATTTTCTGTTTACCCGTTCTATCAAGTACTGAAAGATTACACTTGAAATCTCAAACAAAGATTGTGAAAGGCCAGTTATACGTTTAGCTTTCTTCAGAGGTGTCCCAGAACAATCCCCTTAGCTGATACGAGAAAGGATTGATTCTGTTGTAAATGACATCAATTTCAGTCATTTAAGCGAATCTTTTGCTAGTCACATCAGTTAGCATTTAACGTTAAGAATTACATGTGGTATTAGAAATGGATCACTTGTATTTTATAAATTTTATCACACATTACATAATAAATCTATGTTCACATAAGCTTATTCTTTCTGCGCCCCACCCCCCCGGACAGCCTTCTGGGAACAGGGAGCTGTTCCCTTTGTATTCCTGTTTCCTTGGATAGGCACATCACTGGCACTCAATAAATGCTCATCAAATTGAATTTCAGGTTGTTGGTAAACTCTTTAAAGTTTATATAAATCAGCCTTGATCATATTCTCCAAAACTATAGTCTGATTTATAGTAAGATACTCATTGGTTGGTTAAACATGTGGATGATAATTTATTCAAAAAGAGATCACTGTTTGGATTTATGTAGCGGAAGTAGAGGGTTTTGAGCTGTGTGCCAGTTGTATCTCCATAGTTCTTTGTTAAGAGTTTGAAGGATGTGGTCTTAATAAGATATCTTACTTCTAAGTCTTTAAATTTAACAGTAAAAATAGGAATTACTTTCAATTAACAGAAATTAAAGTTAAAATGCTTTTACAGAAAAACTTTTATAAAACAACTTTTTATAATTCAATAGTTTTGTAGTTTCAAGGTTAAGCTTTATCTTTTTTTTTTTTTTGAGGAAGATTGGCCCTGAGCTAACATCTGTTGCTAGTCTTCCTCTTTTTCTTTTTTCTCCCCAAAGCCCCAGCATATAGTTGTATATCCTAGTTAAGGGTCCTTCTGGTTCTTCTATGTGGGACGCCGCCTCAGCATGGCTTGATGAGCGGTGAGTAGGTCTGCGCCCAGGATCCAAACTGGTGAACCCCAGGCCACCGAAGCAGAACATGAGAACTTAACCACTATGCCACTGGGCCGGCCCCAAGCTTTATCTTTTTTTTTTTTTTTT